ACTGCCTATGGGGGACATACCAATGCATGGCATCTCCGTTGCTGATATTGGAGCAGTGGTCTCTAGCATTTTCAATTCTCCAGCGGAGTTTTTAGGCAAGGCCGTGGGTCTCAGTGCAGAAGCACTAACAATACAGCAATATGCTGATGTTTTGTCCAAGATTTTGGGGAAAGAAGTCCGAGATGCAAAGGTAAGTTTCTAGGAGACGTAAATGTGATTACAAGAGTCCAGCATGGGCAAGAAGAAACTGAAGAGGGTTCCAGTTCCGCAAATCTATCTTCATCTGCTGGTGTATCTGAATCCCACCCTTATGGCTTTATTTCTTTGGCTTAAGGTTAATCAGTTCGTTACACCAAAATTACTCTTGGGTGGCAAGAACTTAGAATCCGAAGACCGAGGTACAACTTTTCATACACACTATCCCAGTTCTCCTCCCTCAAGCACTCACTGCTGATCATTGCCGTCTGCCCCAGCTCACCAGTGTGGGGCAAGGCACTCAGCCTCTCTGAGTCTCGGCCTCCTCACCCGTCAAGCAGGATGATAGAATCTACCTTGGCGAGTTCTTGTGAAAATTAGGACATATTTAAGGGGCTTAGCATAGTGTTTGGCATGTAGCAAGTACATATCAAGTACCTGTTGGGTACCCGGTGCCATCTTTATGGAGTTTACTGCAGAGTCAGGGTAAAAAATGTTAATGCATCTGAAATCACAGTGATCAGTACAAGACAGAGCAATATAGGTGCTTAATTGTGTTGTCCACATTGTCTGTGCTATAGGTGATCAGAGACGGGTAGGAGAAGGCTTCATGGAAGAAGTGGCTTTGAGGCGCTCCTTGAGGGTGGGTCAGACTGTGTGTAGTTGGAGCGAGGGGGCTGGGCTGGCTAAAGTCTAGAATTCTAAATTCTAGCCCTGCTAAATCAACGTGAGTGAACCAGAGGCAGCATGGGGAAGTAAGCAAATCCTGGTTCTGCCCTTATCTGTCTGTGGAATCTTGGCAAGTTACTTAACCTCTCCAGCCCTAGTTTCTTCATACGCTAATAAAAAGTGATTATACTTCTCTCACAGCATTGTTGAAAGGATGAAATGAGATAATGTCAGGTGCCTGGCACTGGGTCTGGCACTTAGTAGGCCCTCAATAGCCAATCATGATAGAAATTGGGCGGGAATGGCCTGGACGAGAAAGTGGCTAGGACAGACCTTTTATAGAAAAGTGAGAGGAACTGATGATATTGCACATAACCAGCCATTTCTCCAAAGCAGGTGTTGATAAGAGGAAGGAGAAGGAGAACAGTGTTCCTGTGTTTGTATGTGCCTCAGAGAGAGACACCATCAGAGCTGAATTTTGGAGGACCCATACCTTCTTTCAAGCTGACAGGCATTAACTAATATGGCTTTGTCTCTCTCGGCTGCAATTCTCTCATCTGTGTGAAATGAGAGTGTTGTTCAGATGATTTCTAAGGTTTTTCTCCACACCAACATCTCTCTGGAGTAGGGATCTGCAAACCAGGACCCTCCACCTGCTCTTTAAAATAACGATTTATTGGAACGCAGCCACACCACTATTTATGTATTGTCGATGGCTGTTTTCGTGATACAATGGTAGAATTGAATAGTTGTGGCGGAGACCACACGACCCGCAAAGCCTGAAATATTTATATCTAGTCCTTTAAGAAAAAGTATGTTGGCCCCCACTCTAGAATGTTCCTGGAGTTAGGGATAGAATGCTGATTTTTGTTTCCCTCTGCAACTCTTGGTTCAGTGAATCTTGAAGACTTATCTAGATTTCCAATTCAGCCTTAGGAACTAAAACTGTGAGGAGGGTAAGAGATCTTTTACTTGAAAATGACTGTAGGTGTCTTTCATGGAGAAAATAAGGTACTCCCAAGCCCAAGAAGGCAGCCAGCCACTCAGCAGATGGACTCATGAGATGACCTGCAAAGCTCTTGTACCTGGGTGCAGATGCACTTCTCGGGGACTGAGCCTTCTCCCAGGGCATTTGTATCTGTTTGGTCCTTACTTAGTTTTGTGTCATGTGGTTTGAAGTCTGTAAGGAAGAAAGGGAGAAGAGTGAAGGACTGTGGGTGTGTGGTGTGTGTTCATTCTCAGAGGACTGGATAGGCTTTGTTTTAGATGGCTTGGGACCTTCCAAGCATCTCTCAGTCACCTACCTGGTCCCTGACTATTCTTGGTACATCAAGTTTTTTCACAAAGCAGCAGAAACTTCCCTCGCGTCAAAAGTTTTAGGGCATTAGAGGCTGGAAGTTCTACAGGATGGTTAACGCTGTTCTTAGTTACTAGGCTGACCTGAAGATGCTGGCCACTGGGAAAAAGGCTTAGGCATTATGCTACACTAAGGAAGGATGCGTGTGGCCACAAGGTGGCGCTCCAGCCTTGGCAGTCTGACTTTCCCCAACCCAGTCTGGTCGGAAGGAGGCTGTTAGCATAACTCTGTAGGGAATGCACGCACCGTAACACACTCCCATCAGAGGAACTGGTCTGGCGGAAACTGTAACCCCAAAAGGGACATGGTTCTTTCAGAAAGGTTCGCTCAACAGAACAAATCTCTTTCCTTCAAAAGTCTGCAGAAAAGAATCCCCTTTTTAATGAGGGATATTAGTTATCAAAGTTACAGGATGAAAGAGTGACTTAGGAGACAGACATTTTAGAAGTTATCTTCCATGCTTCTCATGGAGTACTCTGTTTCTAAACTTATTAAAGTTTTAAATTTTTTTCTAATTTCGAAACTGCTTATTTCAGAAACACAGAAAATTATAAAAAATAAAATAAAAATCACATGGTTTATCAGAGATAGCAGCTGTTGAGATTTGGCACATTTTCTTCTAGTCTTTTGAGTATATATATATATATATATATAAAATACATATTTTATATATTATTGAGTTTTCCTCCTTGCTTCCTCTTTGGGGCATTTTGTTGTACTCGGTCCCAAGCCCTCACTCTCCAAAGTTAAAATAACGCTATGTGTACCATTTTGTATCTGGTCTTTTCATTTAACAGATTGTTATGAGCATTTTTTTCTATTTTGTTAAACTTCAAAAGCATTAATTTTAATAACTACATAATATTCTTAGGGTAGATGTACCACAATTTATTTTACCATGCCTCTATTTTTGGACAAGTAGTTTGTTCTTGATTTTTCATTATTATAAATGGCATATGACAATCATTGTTTTATATGAGTTGTTTGTATCTATCACACTTTTCTAAAGCCAAGTGGAATAGCAAGGTTAGAGTTTATCTTGGGGCTAAAGACAGATTACACTGGATCTGATAGTTAGATACGGTTTTTACTAATTCAGGTGGGGGAACTATTGATCTAGTTAGTGTCAGAAGGGACTCAAGGGGCGGATTTTGTAGAAAGCGATAGAGGTGGCCCAGTAGCTGTGTGATGGGCAGCATTTCTTTGGGCCTGGCCCTGGCAGAGGCTGGGATGGTTAAGTCAAGATGCTTATATTTAGTCCAGGAGGAGAGTGATGATGGAGGGGACATCAGCCAGGAGGAAAAGACAGAGCCCAGTGCCAGAGTATGCAGGAGCCTTTATGGTGCATGGAGGACCGGATGGTAGAATATCTGAGAGGGCTGCTGAGGGAATCCCATGAGGAACTGTATATGAAAGCTGTTCAGGTGAAATGGGTAGAGATCCATAGTACCTTATCCAAAATTCTTGGGGCCAAAAACAATTCAGCCTTCAGGATCTTTCAGCTTTTAAATAAGTTATAGTCTACATGTATTCTGTAACATCAACATCAGGCCGAGGCAGGAACCTGTAATCAAATACATCAATATCTGCAGAAAAAATATGACTACTTCTATTAAATGGGATAATTAAAGGGCATAAATAGTTTTGCATACATTCAGATCAGAATTAGTTCAGAAAATTCAGTTTGCTGCCAAATTGCTTATAAGAAAAATTTAGAGTTTCTTGGGTTTTGGAGTTAGGCTAAAGAATTATGGACCTGTATCATCATTAAAGTGAATAATTTCTCCTCAAACTATTTTCAGTGAGACTAAAACATTTTCTGTTTTTCTTTTAACTTGTTCTTAGATCACCCCAGAAGCGTACGAAAAGCTGGGATTTCCTAAAGCAGAGGAATTGGCTAACATGTTTCGTTTCTATCAAATGAAACCAGACCGCGATGTCAAGCTCACCCACCAACTAAACCCCAAAGTCAAAAGCTTCAGCCAGTTTATCTCAGAAAACCAGGGAGCTTTTAAGAGCATTTAATCTGTTCAAACAGGTCACTGAACACACAACTTCCTTCCTCCCTGATTCTGATCCTCTTTATAGTACAACATCTACATTTGAGAACAGATGTGTGAGAGTATGATTGTTCGCAACATCAAAGGCTTCCCCAAAGTTCTCTCTTGAGTAAGAAACACTGAAGTGATGATTTGACACAGTAATTTGACTCGCATATAACTCTCCAGCTGGTGATTAGGACGGTACACCTGTTTGGTTAAGTAAGAAGCCCTAAACCTATCATCTTTCGTAGCTCTCTCTCCCTAACAGCCAACTAACCTCACAAGGCTCTGGCCTGAGGAAGTTGGATCTTCTTCCCTAACATGAATAGAACTGGCCTTGATTTTCTCCTGCCTCAGTGATCTTGAGCCCTGGCTCTGAAACTCCCGTAGCCAGCTCCAGTTTTGTTTTGTTTTTCTTTTCAAGGGCATTGTCATGTTCTCAGGGAACTTTTAAGTGATTTTAATTTCTTAAAAATCTTTATAGAGGACTTTCTGGGGAATATGGTGTTCAATGAATAAGCACAAGTGTTGGAAATTCCTCAATTCTATTTTGCTTCAAGGTTGGAAGTTTATTCTCTGAATTATTCAATAAATCATCTAAACTCTGGGAAATGAGTCTAGATAAATTTCTGAAAATGGAAAAGAAATAAAACCCTAAAGTAAAAATAGATGGTTTATTACTTATCTGGGTGGGCCAGGCAGGAAGAATGGCTGCTGTTTCCTAAATAAAATTCAGCATCCCCTAAATGGGGAGTGTCTGTAGGCTGGCGGGTCACCTGGCTTCCTTGTATATTCCCTGATGTGACTGGTTGGTTCCCTTAGCCTTTCAGACAAGGCTGGTAGCCCTGGGCCAGGCCCACCATTGTTCCTGCAAAGCACAGGAAGTCCTTTCTGGGTTTAGAAGTGAACTTTACAGTGGTCGATCTGAAATGAGACTCTGCCTTTTCGGGGCCTAGTTCGCAACCCCACCTCACACTACCAGTAAGGGGAGAGAACTGGGAAAGATAGTCTAAAACATTTTGTATTTGTTGACAGTAGACAAGGGACTCCACCACCAACTACCCCACACCCCGACCCCTTTCCAACAATCTTCAGGCCTAGAGAGAGAAAAACTTCCCTTTGGTGTTGCTCTGAGTAGACACTTGGGGACCCAAGAGAGACCAGAAGGTGGAAATGGAGCATGCGCCACAGTGAACAAAACCACCCTCTGTTGTTCAGGGAATGGATTGGGTGGCAGTGGGGGAGATGGAAGAGAAGGTACTCAGGAGGAAATATCGGTGATTCTAGAAATGTTTCTAGAAACCCAAGCTATGAAGCCCAGTGATGCTGGATTTGATTTCCGCCCTGCCACTGACTGGTTGTGTGAACTGTGCAAGTCCCTTGACTCCTTCGGGCTTTAGTTTTCCCATCCTCGCAAGGGGCTGCTGGAAGGACTAAGATGGAAAGGATGAAAAACACTTTGGACATTCTTTGGAAGAGAGTAAGTGCTCAATAAATGGTAGCTGTAATTATTAAGAATAATTCCTGGCCTGTCGACTCCATACAGCCCTCAGTGCCCACCAGCTGCTACAGGTCTCCCTTTCACAGGCCCACCCACCGTGGCCTCTGGGACTGCAGGCCCATTGTGCCCTGACTGCCCTCTGCTGGGGTTCCGCCCCTGTCTGACTTCCCTTGCCTGCCACTAGATGGCAGGACAAGCCTAGCACGAGAAAGGGTTGCTCAACCTAGTCCCAGGAAGACTTCTTCAGCAGCTGTCTTTGGGAACAAGACTCCAAGAGACAGTTCTGTGGTGCACATTACAGAGCCCTTCAGTCCCTGTCGTCTCTTTCAGTCACCTTCCATGGTCATTTCAATAAGCGTGTGCTGGGCAACCTCCCTGAGCCTGGCACTGTGGGAGGAAGGGCCTTCTCTGCTTAATTTGGGATTAAGGAAAGGAAAAGAAGAGCCAGGGTATTATCCAAAAGCTCAAGCACTGGCCCGACCCATGGCCCACAGAATTCCTCAGGCCAAGGGTGAGGCTTCTATGGAAGGAAGGCCCCTGCCCTTGGCCAGGAGTGCTGAGCGCTGTTCTCCATCCCCGCCTTGAGCAGTCCGAACCTGGGCATGGGCACCCTGCAGCTGGTGCCTCCACCATCTTCCTCTCTGACGCCAGGGGACCCTTCCAACTCTGAAGTCCCATCAAGACTGTGCAAGGGGCAGAGACAACTCCTCAAAGGAATTTGGGGCAGCATTAGGAAAAGGAAGTGTATGCTGGGCGGGCCCCACGCAGTGTCTGCTCTCCAAACCGTTCTCTGGCGATGGAGTCAACGCCTGGACTCCTTGCAGAAGTGAACAAGAAGGCAATAGCGTAAATTTCAAAACACCCAGAAGATAAGTTTTTATAGTATTTCTGAAGAGCGACTCAGCTGTATGTTGCAAGAGGATTAAAAATGTGTGTACCCTGTGACCTGGCAACAGTACCTCTAGGAAGCTATTTTAAGTAAATAAACACAAATGCAGATAAATATAAGATTTCCAGGAGATTACATAAAAGTGTTGTTCATCAGAGAAAAAAAAAAAATGGAAATAAGCTAAATGTTCAGCATTAAGGGCATGGGTCATTATTGAGTAGTTTTTAAATTTCCTTCGATTTTATATTCTTTATAACTAGCTTAATTCCAGTGGTGTAAAGTATATATAACATTGCAAAACACTGAGAGGAGAAATACTAAGATGTTAATAGTGGTTTTCATTGAATAGTGAGATTTTTGATTGACTTCTATTTTCTCCTGTTAGTCTCCCCTTTCCTTCAGCTTTCCGTAATAAAAATATGTTAAATAGATGCTGAATTTTATGTAAAAAAAGTTACTTTTGTTATTTAACAAATAGCATAGATTGTCCTAATTCTTCCTTACGTTATGACAAATATAACAAGTGTTATTTATGGTGTTTATGTGTACCAGCCACTAAGCTAGGAGCTAGCTGTATATACATACACCAGCACTATAAAGAAGATTATCTCTTCATTTTACAGGTAAAGAAACATACTCCAGAGAGTTTAGGTAATTTGCTCCAAATCACACAATTAGTAGGTGGCAAAGCCAGAATTTAAATTCACGTCTGCACGTCTCCAAAGTCCAAGACCTTTCCGCTCACCGGAACTCAAGTCGTGAGAAGGTTGGGTCATCAAATTCATTCGGGTATCAGTTGTTTGTAATTTGAGAAATATTTTCTCTTAGAAACACTGTAGAGATGCTAGCCTGCCCCACTGTATAAAGATCAGTCCTCTGAAAACTGGTGAAACCACATCTACTCCTAAGCTGTGAAACCACAACTTTCAATAAGATGTTTCCTGCTAACCCTTTTTCCCAGGTGCACACACAAGAGAATAATGAAACTGATGTTGGGGTGAGGACAAGGCAGTACTTGGGGAAGTCACAAGGAGGAAAAGCCATGTCAGGGTACAGAAAGAAAAAACAGAGCCAAAGTACAGGGTACAGGCAACAGCCATCGGGGCTGAATGGCTGGCTGGGGGTGCATCCAGGACAGGGGTGGTGGGTTGAGTGTGAAGGTTCTGCATGGAAACATAGGGAGCCCACAGGAGGTCCTGGGATATCAAATCCAAATGTTTCCAAGAGTCAGGCAGATAAATGAATGAAGCTGACCAGGTGTAATACAGGGATGTAATAAGTGGGGACTATGGTAGTGAGAAACTGCATGACCTATCTCTACAGGCATTAAGAATAAAATTTAACAGAAATACAGTGACAACCAAACATAACCTACTTCAGCAGTTCCTAAAGGGATGGTTTTCTGACTCTAATGTTTAACAGTTGAAACTTCCAATTTTGTAAAAGGGTAGGGACCCAGTGAAGCTGTATGGATGGTAGGTGGAGGGCTGGATCGTGAGGGGCATGGGCAGGACAAGACTCCAGGGTCCCCTGCGTTGACCGTGGGGAGGATGCTGGGCAAGGGCTGGAAGGTCGAAGAGCTGGTTGGCTGAAGCTGCTCTTATTTGTATGTCATTACACATGAAGGATTCTGTCACCAAGTCTAGCAGAAGTTTGGCCATGGGGGAAGAGAAAGAAGGAAGGAACCAACATCTGCCGGAACCTGTACGTTTTCGTCATTTCATTTAAGCCTTATTATCTTCCAGAAAAGCTGGTGTATGTGGCAGACTAGCCAGGTGTTTACTAGATCTGTTGTCTCATCTTCCTGGGCACGTAGCTAGACCTCATGTCTAAGTGTTCTTTGTAATTAATTACAGCCATGTACCTGAGACATAGACACTAGCGTATGAGTGGAAGTGACGTGTGCCATTTCTAGGCCTAGCATAAAACTCTTCCACTTGCACACTTTTCCATCATCTTCTCTCCTACCTTAGGATTGATGTCTACGAGCCTGATGACCTTGAGAGCCATGTTGAGAAAATGGTGAAGCCAGACAAAGAAAGGACCCAGGCACCTACCTCCCCTCTTGGAGAACAACCCATAGTTTAGGGACACCTGTTCTGGACTTTATGCAAATCAGAAATGAACTTCCATAATGTTAGGGCCAATTAACTTCTGTATGTGTGTTTAGTACAGCAGCTGGCATTGCTTTAACCAATATGATGTTTTCACGCCCATTTTAGAGAGAAGCAAACCGAGGCTCAGAGAGTTCAAGTAATTTGCCCAAGGTCGCACAACTAAAAGTAAATAAATTTGAACCCAGGTTTGTCCCGCTCCCAAGCCTAAGCTGTTTCTATAACAACGTACTGTTTCCAAGGTATCCAATAAATTCCGTGGTGCCTGATTTGTGATTTCTCATCCTATCGTAACCAACCCCACCCACCCCAAAATCTGATGGGTGCCTCCAAAATGCAAGCAAGTGGGAAGAGAGAGAGTATTGGGAGTTGGGAGTGGCAAAACCATCAAGATCTCACTCTAATATCAAGCTACAGAGAGGGAATTGCAAAGCAGCTTCCAGATCTTTCTCCTGCGAGCCAGGTGGGGCTGCTGGCAGAGCAGAGTGGGGCCTGACAGTCCTGGGGAAGTTTCTGGACTCCCAGTGGCACTCTTGCTTGGCTCGTTCACTAACATCTGTGTCCCTCCAATCTGGGCGCTAGCTTGAACTCTGTGAACTGCTCAAAGAGGCGCTTGCTACCTCTTTGTTCAAACAGACAATGGTTGCAGTAACAAAGAAGAAAATCAGATGCAGGTGAAAGTTTATTTTTAACATTTCTGAGGCCACATGGGGATTTAACATGAAAATCAGAGCCCTCGTTTCCGCCCGCTCTTTCCCAAAGTGGCTTGGGTGCTTTTGGCTGGCCAGGGCTTCAGCATGCTTGGATCCCTGCCACTTGATGAGGCAGACAGTTCAGTCTTTCTGGGGCCTTCATTTGGACAGAAATACAAATAGACGTTTTGTTTGGAGATGGTGTTAAACTCGGCCCACAGAGTGTGATCAGCTTAGGAAGGCATGCTGCTCTGGCCACTCCAAACATGTGAGGTTTCTTTACATTTTAGTTAAACCAGTTGGAAGCCTGAAAATATGTGTAATGAAATGAAAATTGTTGGAAACCATTAGGAGAAAAGCTCCCTCAGGGATGGGCCCCCAGCCCATCCCTCTTCTAGAGGCCCACAGGGAGCAGA